TCTAGATCATTATACAATTTATATAATTAGATATATAGGCTAGAAATTTAAACAACTAATAGGAAATAAATGTATAAATGTCATACATTCGTATTACAAATGATATTATATTAATATAATAAATAGAAATTCAAACTATAACGAATAAACGTATAAATGTCATACATTCGTATTACAAATGATATTATATTAATATAATTTTCCATTAGGATCGGTACAGACAATATCAGATATTTACTCAATCATATGAACTATTGAATTACAAATACAGTTTATGAGCCGAAAATTTAGTCAATAATAAAAATTTATTGATTGAATAATGAATGGTTTGGAAAATCAGGAACAAATGAGAGCAGGAAACGCGATTAGAAATATTTTTCAGAAATATATTTTGATCATGTATATATATTTCATATATTTCACTGGTTTTCGATACGAATTCTCTTTCTGAATGTTTTGCTGAATGTTTCGCGTTTTCATTTACAGATTCCAAACGAAATTCAGAAGAATCCGCGATTTGTGCGATGCTAAAAGAAAACATGCCTGAATTTCCTCTCTATCAACTTAGCTGCATTCTCTTTTTCCTCATACCAATGGCATTTATCGCGGTGCTTTATATTCGGATAGGATTACGAATACAAAGTGACAGCCTTGCGGAGAACGTCGAGGGATACGTTCACGGGGAAACGAAACAAGTCCAGTCACGAAAAACCATCACACGAATGCTGAGTAAATAATCAATCTTAAATAAACATTATTCCGTTCTTTATATATATCCATAAAGTTTTAATGTGCTCGTAAATTACAACATTAACACGCGTATATCTTTGCCGTGCCAGTAAATATGAGAAACTGATTCAACCATGACGACAGACATTATTCCACATAGATTATATCCTATCAAGGAATGTGTTTTAGAAATTGATGAGGAAACTGACGTTTGACGTGGACGTCAAACTCTTTGAGATCATTATACCACAGACAATTTTCACCTTGTCGATAATATGTGACATCTGAAAATAAGAATATTCTTGCTCGCTGGAAAAACATTTGAAAATTTTATTACTCGATTAATTTTTTTCCTTCTTTAAAATCTTTAATTTTTATTTTAATTTATTCATAAGCATTGCCACTTATTTTCTTTGAAATTCATTGTAAATATTTTTTATTTTTTTTTATGAAAAATTATAAAAAAAATCAAAAGATAAAAAGGAAAGAAATAGAATAGTAAGTAAATGAAATTTGGTATAAAATATTCACTGCTGATACGAAGAGACTGAAGCCAATGATAGAAAGAAATCGTGCTTCGAATTGATTCTACAGGTGCCGTGGTGATCACATTTTTCATCTGTTGGGCGCCGTTTCATGTTCAACGATTATTATATGTGTATGAGGACTCGACGTACGATGACATAAACCAGTGGGTATATCCGCTCACTGGTTGTCTTTACTACTTCAGCACGACTATTAATCCTATCTTGTATAATGTGATGAGCGCGAAATATCGGAACGCTTTTAAAGAAACGTGTCGATGCTCGCCTAGCAATCCATCCATTCCCAGAACCGGCCTAAGTAGCGTGAGAAATTCGAGTATAATTTGTGGTAACAAAAGATCTCAGGTTTTTCGTGGAAGAAGTGCAAATAGACAAAATAGTTGTAACATGTAAGTTAAATTTCATATATAATTAAAAACATGTCCCTCGTTAGTCGTTAATCTCGTATCTCTTTCTAAAATTTTCCTGAATTCTGAATTGTTTATTACATGAAAGTTCATAAACGAATTTAACTTTGGGAATTGTTCCCGAGGTAGATACAACGCATCGAGCCGCATGGAAAACAACTTACGAGGGGAAGCGCAGCTAGACCATAGAGAAAAGCGACAAAATGTATTTGCAAATGATTCGTTGACAGCGGAAAACAACGAAATTGTAACTGCACAGTTTTTAAATCAATTAAAAAAATCATCGGTTTTGGTACATACGAAAAATGGACGTCTCAAATATCAAGTGTCTGACAATAATACATCTACAAACGAGACACATATCTGATTGCTGAATCGTAAAAAAGGGTAAATATACATATTGTTAAAATTTCGAATGGTATAAATTATTAATTTCGGAATATTAACATGAAAATATCGTTTATTTTAAACCTTTAAAACAGCGGTTACTTTTTTAATCCATTAATTTCTGACTTATCTTGTTAAGAAAATTAATTCACACGTTTCAAAATTCTTGCATTTGAGATATAACGAAAAATGTGAATCGATATAATTGAAAAATATTATTTTGATATTCAAATTTTATGTGATGTTCGGAAAAATGTATGATGGAATATAAGGTATAAATATATTATCTTTCAACAAATATAGCCTTAAAATATTTACGATAATAACATTAAAAGTTATTAAATTTGATATTTCAGTCGAAAAAATTGATGAATTTTTATTATGATTAGTTGACACTTAAAGACATAATTTTTGAGTAATATGAGAAAAATTTTTCAAGAAAAACTATAAAAATATGGACGAACTAATAATACGCATATAGAATATAATTATATTATAACGATGAAAAATATTATGGATTTAATATCGATTTGATTTTGGTGAATTTTTGGTATTAAATTTTCGTGTTAAATATTGTATATAGATAAATATACACGATAAATAGTAGCTTTCTTTCGAATCATATAACACAACACGATTATTAATATACTATATGTATATATATATATATACAATATATTGACTATAAATCTATTACACATGTAAACACATTTGATTAGATTGTAATATTATATATATTATTATATTAAATATATTATTACATTTATATTACGATTAATAATTTTAAAACCTTTTCAATTTAATTTTTTTTCTCAATTCTTTTTTTTAATACAATTTTGTACAAATATATTTTAATTTAAAAAATATATTTGCAGACAATATTTGACAATTCTAAGATTTGAATTTGAAATTTTATTTTTTTTATAGTTTTACAGTCTTTTTATAGTCCTTCTTACAGTTTTTTATCATTATTCTTCATTTTGGGATTTGTAAAACATAGAGTTTTTTCAAGTAATAAAAAGAGCAACGATTTTTATAAGTATTTTCTCATTATAATATTTGATAGAAAATATATGATCAAATATACAATATACATATAACTTAATATATATCAATCAAAAATCGAATTTAAAATTTCCATAATTTTGTTATTAAGATTTCCAAAATCAAAAACTTTATGATTAAATCAAAAAGTTTTAATGAAAATCTTTGCATAATTTAATTTACCTTATTGAAATTAAGTGTTAAAATATTATTTTATTGAATGTTAATAATAAAAGAAAGAAACATTATTATCATTATTTTTATTTTTTTATCAAGAAACAATATAAAACATTTGCTATAATTCTTTTATTACAACTATCTTATTACATTTTAATGAAAGCTAATTTAAAGAATTTTTTTTATCTAGTTTATTTTATTACTTATTCACTAAAATATTAATTCTTTTTTTTTTTAACGAATTTTCTTCGACAAAATTGTTAAAACTTAAAACTTTTAGTGAAATTCATAATATCTATTCAGCAATACTTAATATTATTTTATCTCTGATAAAATTTATTTTCGTTTTGGCCACTTATTTGAATTCTAATTTTTGCAATAGATGATTAACAATTTACGATATAAGAGATATAAAAGATAATAATTAGTAAAATAGTAAATTATTTAAAGAGATATTTTGAATGACTATGATAAATTATAATCAATGCAAATTATCCTATTTTCATTGAGTTTTTTTATCATAAATGATTACATCTTTCATATCATATAATATATCATTAATAATATGATTTTGAGCAGTTAAATCAACTTTTCAGAACTTATGAAAACAATCCAAAATTAATATCTGGACTTATTATCTAGATTGATGTCAAATCTCTTCTCAATGAAGAAATGATATAATCAATTTTATCCAATTTAGAGAATGCAATAATAAATGACAATTAATTTACAGAACTAATTTCAAGAAATCTATTTTTAAAGTTATAATGTTTTATTAACAAATTTGTAGAATCAATTTCAATATTTAATCATATCGAAGATAGTTCGATATTTTGCTTGTATATTTATATTAATATGTTTCATAACAATTTTATTATTATACTCATAATTATATTATCAAATCTGATATATATATTTTCTGCATGTTTTTATTCATTTTTTAATTCATCTATACCATTTTTTCATTGAAAAGAGATATTAATCAATCATAGTTATTAATTTTCTAAGAAATTATTAAATTTTTTTCTATTTAATTAAATAATTTAATGATGGCAATCACAAATAATGTAATTATTAATATATAATTATATAATTTTCTTTCTTTAATTTTTTCTTAATTATTCATTATTACAAATATAAAATTTAATATTTTATTTAAGATTATAAAATAAAACTTATTTTATTTTAAATAAAAATTTAATTTTAATTCCAACTATTATTAGTGCAATATTATTTTATGCTGAATATTTTATGCTTATGAGAATAATATTAAAATGGTAAAAAAGTTTGTATTATTTTTGATACGTAATATATATATTGATACATATAAATAATATGCATATAATAGTAGATCTATATTATAATTTATCTATGACTTATAACATTCTAGTTCTTTTTGATGTTAATAGTTGGCTATACTGATATAAAATTTTAACGTACTTATTCAAATGTGAATAGTGAATAGTGAATATTATTCTCAATTTTATAGTTATTTTAACATAATATATATATGTAAAATAAAATTTGAGCAAAAAACTGTTTTATTTTATAATACAATAAAACTTTTAAACTGATTATTATATTATTTGTTTACATTTTTATAAATGTATATGATAACTTTAATTTTACTCTCCAATTTCACTATTTGTTTTTGTTTACACTTATGTTTTTTATTCATATGAGAGTATTTTAATCAGCATATAAAAATGTAATAAAATATTTAGACTATTTAGATTGTTTATTAAAAAAAGTATGCCTAATTACAGTAAGTAATTAATTTTATATTTTATATAAATATATATGTATGTATATTTTGTATGTAAACTTAAATTTTTTTGATAATTTTAATAGGAAATGAATCTTGTAGCAAATATAAAGCACAATTCGAAGACTGTAATAAAAATGATGTAAAGATAGAATCTAATATAAAAATGACAGAATCTTTTTATAATTCTCAAAATTTTTGTTTAAAATTGTCACAAGATTCTAATATATCTGATGTTCAAAATGTTAATGATGCAGATGTAATAATAATGAGTGACTCCAGTTCTAAATCAACTTGTTCTATACCTAAATATGTCTTAGGATCAACATCAAATAATCATCCTACAATAGATAATACTATTTATATTGAAGATTCTTCAGATTCTGATTCTATAGATATTACAAATGAAAAATATTTCCAATCTTGGAGAGCAAATAAAAAATCCTATTTTATTAATAATTTTCAAGAAAGAAAAGATATTCTAAAAAAAAATAATATATTGCCTATATCTGATGACTTTTCATCTAGTAGTAGTGGACAAGAATATATAACAACTTCTAAGAGGACAAATAGTAGTTATATCAGTAGTTGTACCAGAGAAAATAGAGTTAATGATATATCAGAAACAAATATTCAATGCAATACTAATACTACTGATATTAATAATTTGAAAAATTCTAATGATATTATTCAATTACCTAAAACCACGTCTCATATTAATAGTGATTTAAAAAAAAAAATTTCAAAAGAAGATTCTAAAAATATTATAAAAAATATAAAATCTACACGGATAATATATGAATCACCTAAAATTCAAAAAGAAAAAAATGTGATATCTAATAAAGAAATAGATAACAATATTATACATCCAGCTATTTCACCTAAAAATAATTTAAAAACAAATAATATATTTATTGATGAAACTCAAGAGGATTCTGAAAGTGATATTATTCAAGATTCTCAAATGAATCTTACACATTCTTATAAAACTCGTGTTAATAAATTTTTAAATGCACCATATATAGAAAAAGATACAACATCTATTAAACTATCAGAAAGAAAAAGAAAACAAATTTCACAATGGCTTATGACAAATTTACCTGATTCTCAAAGTGATAGTTCACTTGATATTGTGCCTCTTACTAATAAGCATGATAAAAGTTCTGGAAATAGCAGTTTGGAAAGATTAGAAATGAATTATGAAACTCCAAACAATAGAGGAAAAATAAATCAATTACCTATAAATGAAAGTAAAAATATAGATTCAAAATGCAATAAAACATCTAATCCCACAGTATTACGTCAAACTATAATAAATGAATTTGTTCAAAAAGAAAAAAATTATGAATTTCATACATCACACAAAACTCATATTAATGATAATAAATTTTCAATTCCAAAAACAAATACATCCCAAAATATAGATATCAGGGACTGTGCAGATATATTAGATAAATTATATGGTAAATCTTGGCGCAATAAGGCTGATGTATTGTTTCCAAAATCTGAACCAAGAATGATTAATACAATTAAACAAGCAACTACTACAAAAAATAGAGCTGTTCAAACTGAAAGGTGATTATAATTATTATATATTATACTATATTATACTATAATTATACATTAATAGTAAATAAGATTTATAAATTTATTGTTACAGAAAGATAATAAATAGAGAAAGATTGTATATATCAGATTCAGACAGTTCTAACACATGTAAGTAATTATATTGTAGATGATTATATTTATTAAATTATATTTTACACTTATTTTAAAAAGATAGTTTTAATAATTTTAAATACAATTTATAGCTTTAAGAGATTTAAAATTACAAAATCGATCAAAAAAGAAAAGTGTACGAAAAAATATGAAACGAAAAGATGATACTTTTATAAATGATCAAACATCATCAGGAAGTGAAAATGAAAGTTTATATTATACTGCATTAACAAATCCAAGAGTATCAAGTACACAAAATAGTACACAATCGAAAACAGTATTTCCATCAATTGTACAACGGTAATAATTGATTTATAAATAGTTTATAATAAAAAAAATTTTTTTAATAATGTTATTTTATTTTTCAGAGCTATTGAAATATGTGATACAGATTCTGAAGATAATGATAATATAGATAACAGGAATCAAATATTTAACATAAGAGGAAGAAAGTTATCATTCAATAATGAAAGTGAAGATTCAAGCACTAGTGAATTTGATCCTGGTGATGAAATACCACCAAAATCTACAATTAAGAAAGGTATATATATAACAAATATAATACATTATATACATAAATTATATGATCATATGAATTTATATACTAGATTGTATATATATTTCTAGATTTTATTAAAACTATACAAGAAATACCTAAATTAAAGACACAAAATAAATTAACTTCTGACAATCCAAATTATAAAAAACATAACAGCTTCTTAGCGTCTTTAAGTGAAAATATTTCTCTTACTAATGTACATCCAGATGCTAAAAAATATAGATTAGATTATAAAAATAATAAGGAAAATTTATGTAAATACTTGTACAAACTATATAATGAGAAAGTATTTGATAATGAATTACCAGAAGATATGTCAATAGAATGGAATGTTCGTATGAGAGGAACTGCTGGTTTTTGTTATAATAAGAAATCAGTAAAAACACTTGGTGGTATTGTAAAATCATCACGAATAGTTCTAGCAACAAAGGTATATTTATATATTTTTTAAATACAATTATTGAAATAATTTAAAAAATTAAAAAAATTATATATAGATTTTAGATACTCCAGATAGACTTAGAGATACTTTAATTCATGAAATGTGCCATGCAGCTGCATGGTTAATAAATGGAATCTCTGATGGACATGGTCCATTTTGGACAAAATGGTATATTATTTTAAGTATTTATTATTTTTATATTTATTTAACAATTATTTTAATTAGTAGTATTTTAGGGCTAATAAAGCTATGAAAATATTTCCTGAATTACCACCAATAAGAAGATGTCATGATTACAAAATTAAAACTAAATTTACATATAAATGTATAAATTGTGGATACAGGTACAATGCTTTGTATATAATTATGCTTTCAAATATATGTGTGTGTGTATGTGTGTGTAAACAACTTTGAAATATATATTAACTTAACTTTTTAAACTTTATTATAGTATTGGAAGACATTCTAAATCTCTGGATATTGAAAAGAAACGATGTGGACATTGCTATGGAAAATTTGAGTTATTATTAAATAAAACAACAAAATCTGGAACTGTACAAATGCAAACACCAAAAAGAGAACCTTCAGCATTTGCACTTTATGTAAAAGAAAACTATAATTCTGTAAAAAAAGAACGTAATATAGGACATGCTGCAGTAATGAAACTTTTAGGTCAGCAATTTTCAGCAATTAAAATTGCGAAAAAACAAGAAAATATTGAAAATAATCCAAATATTATTAATTAAATAAGTTAATTAAAATTATATTTAGCATTTTTTTAAATTTTATTATTTTATTTAGAGATTATGTATTTCAGATACTTTTGACTATTCATATTTTATATGATTATTTTATAATTTATATGACTGACATGATTTTACCATTGCAGGCATTGGAATGTAAATTATGAAACGAAATGTTTATTATAGACAGGATAAATAATATTTGTAGTCATAATTTAGTATAATTAGATTATATAGACGTAATTGCGATTTATCAATTTGTAATTGAAATTTTATAATAAATGATATATACAATTATCATACCTTTATTTTAATTAATAGAGAAATATAATCCATATAAAGAATTATTAAATTATCTTATACTTCAATAAAAATTGCTTATTGTTATAATAATATAAATTAATGCGTAAAATTGATTAATTAATTTTAATTTCCAATTTATTGAAATGATTGAACTTGTTTTCACGAAAATATTGCGACTCTTTAATGAAAACGTACCTTAAGACTACTTGCATTTCAGACGCATGCGTTAAATTCACGGTGTGGCGGCGGCATCAACAGCGCACTCTAAAAACAGTCGAGCCGAAGATGGCGACGTGCGAGTGGCGGTGTCGGTGCGGTGTTTAAGAGAGAGGACCATGTTGTTACCGCAGTGTTCGCAGTATTTCCATAATCCGCGTTGAGTTCGGTGCAAATGTAGGAATGTCAGAAGCTAAAAGGGTACCTTTGCAAACCTTGGAGTTTCCGGAGTCCTTGGGCTACGCCACAAAAAAGGAGAAAAAAGGGGAAAAGGGCAAACAGCTCGCGCCCTCCTTCCGCTTTACACTTACCCTGCCAGAGTCGAACGAGAAGGCATGTCCTGAGTTCAACTATGCACAACTCCTCAAAGCAGCCGAGGTCAGTTCTTCCTTTCACTCGTTAATCTATCGAACAGAAAATGAAACCCATGATACCTATCCATACGGTCACGTTTACTAACACATTTAGTTTGATATAAACACCGGTTATGATTTCATTTTATATACACACTTTGACAAGAAACTGCAAAAATGCCAATGGAATCGCCCATTTTCAGAGTACATGAAACGAAGAGAACTTGTATCCGTTATTCAAGTGAATTGACATGTCGCAGATACTGAGCGAATTCTTACAGTTTTGTAATATATATTTTTCTTATTTATCTGTATATCTTTTGCTAGGATATATTAATATTATATCTAAATTCATAAAAAAAAGTATAATCAATTCGAAGCCATCGAATAGAAACGTCACAACGCATTACCGGTGGACGTTCGTGTTAACGTATGTTAACATTGCTAACATGAAATACCGTATGTTTGATGTTTCATTTTAAACATGATTATGAACGAGTGTTTAACATTCGTTTTCATGACAATCATTATTCTATATATGTAAAAAATAATAGACTTACTAGAATATGTTAATATTATTTGAAATTAGAAATTCACCAAAATGGTATACATCTTACTTTAAAAACATCTTTATCAAACTATAATACTTTCATTATTTTTTTATTTTTGTAAATAACAATTTAATTTATATCTTATCTCAATGATCTTTTATATATATATATATATATAATTATTATTACTTTTGAGATCGATGCATCAAGAGAAAACGTGATTGTCGATACGAGTGAAATACATTGCATTCAAATTAAATGAATATTATAAAATACATTTATTTTCTACATCATTTTTTTTATTTTTATATCATATTTATTTTAGTATTTCTATCAGTTATATTATTTTTTTTAATATTTATTAAAATGTATAAATTATTTACATTATTCCAAAAAAAAAAAGGAAAACTAGCTCAGTTTAAATTAAAAAAATTTAATTAGTCTAAAATGATTCTCATTTCAATTATAATTTTTAAGATTTTATAGAATTTTTTGCAAAAAAATTACGTTATAATTTTTATATTTACAATAAAATATAAAAGTAACAATTTTTATTTTTATATGATATTTGTTATAAACATAAGAAGAAAAATTTGCATATCATGTAAATGTATTAAATTTTATATGTATTATACTTTTTATGAAAAAAATTATTTTTTCATCTATATTATGATGTGATATTTTATATCACATATAAAATAAATTTATTTTATATAAAAAAAAAATGTATATTATTATTTTATAAATTTATTTTGCATTATTCAAATTTTTGTAATAAATTTTTCTTTTTAATAATAATATATGTAATTATAAAAATTCAATATGTCATATATTTGAAATAAGACTATTAATTTAGATATAATTTACATATATATAGTTTCAATTTATTGATAATTATATTTTTGTTACGATCAATCACACGTGGTAGCGTCTCTCATATTAGGAGAGTAGAAGATAACAAGGAGTTACGCGTCCCGAAAGAAAGAATAGTAGTGACAATCTGCATATAGTATGTGCTCCTGATATGAATGAACAGTTTATGCTCTCTTTCGAATCAATTCATCCTTCTTTTTTTATATTCATATTCCTGAATATGTATTTCATATATAGTATATATTATATTATATATTATTATATTATATATTATATTATATATCAATATTTAATTGATGAAATAATTTTTTATTTAAATGTTTATCAACAAATAAATTGTAAAAATATTAATTTATTTTTATGATATATTTAAATAAATCTTATACATCGAAATGTTATAATTAATAAATTTATAAAATATTAAAAATATAAAAATTTATAAAATGTATATGCAAAATAATTTTTTAATATTAAAATAAAAATAAAAGCATTTTCATTAAAATATTAAATTGAGCTAAAGCTAGATTCATAGGTTTTTTTTCAACATTAAAAATTGATGTTTAAATAATATTCAATTAATTTAATATATTATAATATTCAGTTTAATAAAAATAAATTTTTTTTTATAGAAAAAACGTAGGAAAGAATTGAAACGGGGAGATGAAAATGCAAGCAATGGATTATCTTTCGATGACGATGATGATGATGATAAGCTTCGAGATATGGCAAGACGGTTTGAAGCGAAATATGTATGTAAAACGTAATTTTTTAAGAATTTATAATAATTCCAGTACATATCGAATTATGAAAATTTATTCTCATTATACATGGAAATTTTAAATTTTGCAGGGAACTTCTACTATGGGTAGGAAACGACATAAATATGATGATTATGTGGATTTGGGAGCTGGATATGATGAAAATGATTCTTTTATCGACAATACCGATGCAGTATGTAACATATTTAAATATTATTGTTATTTAATATATATTTAGCATATTATATATCATTTAATGATTTTAGTATGATGAAATTGTACCAGAAGAGATGACCACAGCACATGGAGGATTTTATATTAACTGTGGAGCTCTTGAATTTCGGACAACAGATCGGCATTTATTGGTTCATAATAATAACAATAATAATAATAATAATCAAAGCAATGATGACGAAAGCAGTGAAAGTAGTGAAGAAGATACAGAGGATGTGGATAGTCCAAAAAGATCAGAAAAACGAAATCTTAGTTCATCAGATGAAGATGATACTGAAGATATTACTGGTGATCAACCAAGAAATAAAGTAATTGAAATTATAATATAATATTATTATTTTTATTGTAATAATATATTAAATATTTTTATTTTTTTTATTTTTTTAGAAACAAAAGATAGATGAAAATGGTGAAAAGAAACAGAGTCATGAAAATATTATTAAAAAGAAGAAAAAACAACAAAATTCTCAAGATCAGCAAAATTTTCAACAAGATAGAGATACTTTAAGTAGACGAAAAGAGAAAGGAGAAACTACAGATGCTGAAGGTAATGTACTCATATAACATTATAATATAATAATATGATATATTCATTTTTATAATAATATAATATAATTTTCAGTTTCAGAAGATCAAGAAGATAAAAAGAAATCTGATAAAATAGATACACAAAAAAATAAAAATACATCAGATAAAAAATTTGATATAAAAAAATTTGAAAAAAAGACGTCAAATAGTAATGGTTATGATACAAAAAAATTAGAGCTAAAAAAATTAGGTGGTAAAGATAGTAACATTGATGATGCAATAGAAAGTGTAGTTAATGCTGCAAGAGTTGAAGATGAATCAAGTAGAGATACAACAGATTCCGGTAAATCTCGGTGTATAGGTACAGAATCAGAATGTGATGATATTGATAAAGAAGAAGCACCATTACCTGATTCTCTTCCAGAAAACATTGTAGAAATAGTTAATAAATTAAAAGCGTGTGCTGAAAACAATAAAGAAGGAAAAGCTAAATTTTTTAATGCAGCAGTAAATGCATTATTGTTGAGGTAAGAAGATTGAAATATAATATTTCAATCTTTAAAAAAATAAGTTTCAGAATTTTTGTTTTAGTTTAGAGAAAAAATTGAGGGCACTTCCTTCTTCGAGTTTAAGATTAGAAACATATGGTCATCTCGCACGATTTTTACCATGTAGTAAAGTAGCACTTCAAAATAGAGCAAAAAAATTATTTGTGCAGGATGTGGATTATAAGACTAGAGATCTTATAAAAAGGTAATTTTATGTATATATTAGAAATTTAATTTATATATATTTTTTATGATTTTATTTATATTTTGTTTAATAATTATTAATGTGAATATTATTGTAGGCTAAAAACAGTGATTGATGAAATAATGCCATCTGTAGTATGCAAATATGTAGATGAGTGTCAAAAAGTGGCTGAAGGAAAGTAAGTATTCTTTGTAAATATTTTTTATTGATAATAAAGAAAAAAATTAATAAATTTATAAAAAAATTAGAATTAATAAAATTTTTGTGTGATTTTAAAATATAAACTAAATATTTATATAATCTTGAATGGGAACTTACATAATAATCTTTTATTTCTTAGTCCTCATTTATACTGGGATATATATCGGTACTGTTGGTAAGGTGCCCCTCGTAAGAGGAAACCTTTTCTATTTTTACCTTTCTGATTATTATCTTTTGTTTCTTTGATCTTTTCTAGTTTCCCTTTCTTTATTCATGCTTATATATATGCTATCTCTTTCTCAATATTTCTTATTTTTAAAAAAAATAGTTCTTATGTTGATAGTTCTAAATTAAAAAAAATTTTTTTTTATTATTCTTGTTGAGATAGCAAAAATGCGGGGCTTATCATCAGTATCAGTGTTTAATTTATCATAAATATCATCCTTTTTGTCAAACAATAAAATTAAGTTTATTGAAAATTTAATAATCACACATTCACTATTTCATACATTTTTTATCTAGGGTTTCATAACAAAAAGAGAAAGTTCTCAGATTATGAAATTATATCACAATAAATAGTGATCATCATTTTTTTCATTATCGTGTCATAAATTTTTAAAAAATTGTTTCATTTTTCTTTATTTATAGTTTATATCTTCATTTTTCAGGGAAATAGAAGGATCTCCTGAAGATGTTGAGAGTTCTGATGACGAAGGTGTTTGTGAAGATGCAGATAAATCGAAAATTCCTAGGAAGCGATTTCCTTGGACTGAAGAAGCAAAGTTAATATTTTAAAATGGATATAATATATATATATATACATATATCCAAAAGATATTATATACATTTTTTTTTTTTCTTACAGGAAACTTGTTTCTGAAATCGCAAGTATAAAAAGTCAATGTTACAATGTTTTAAGACCAAGAAAATTAGATATGTATACTTATGTTGGATCTTTTATGGTTCGTCAAGTATTACCATTATGGCCACGTGGCTATATGACCACACATGCTTTATTAAAGTTTGTTGGTGAAGCTGAACCTACGTAAGTAGCATGCAAATTTGAGTGTATATAATTTTTTCTAAAATTATATGTGTTATTGAAAAATAATTTGTTTTTAGCACAA